CTGAATTCAAGGCTGGTTTCATGATGAACAAGCGTTCAGATCAGCTGACAATGAGATATATATGACGTACAAAGTAATACTAAAGGTTCTCACTACTTCGATTACTGTAACAATAAAGTAATCCAATCCAGTAATTCAGACAGTTAAATTATCATATCCTAAAAAGGTCATCAAGACAGCAACATATATATATATATATATGCTTGAAAATCAGTAAATGATTAGTCAGTTGATTTATAAATCACTCTGCTAAGCTTTAAATTGACCGATACTTGTTTAATAAGATTTCAGATTGTTTTTCAGTACAGAAAATCCGTTCATTATTTCTTAAGTTTCAGTTGTTCTTCAGCTTATATCGGTCTGTAGAGAAAGCGACTTTGAAATTAATTAATTCTTAACGAATCTCAATGAAAATTTATTGGCACAGCATTGAAATACTTTAGATACCTGCTATTAGTATTAGGAAGGAAGTGCCACTTAAATATTTTTCAGGGACAGTCCCTTGAAAAAATAATATTGTAATCCGTTACTACGACTGACTAGGAAAATTACTCACTAGACATACTCAACGCAAGCGAATCAATTAGAAAAACACACTTAAATACGGTCGTAACTCACACTGTTATCAGAACACTTGGAACTGTGATTTGGTACTCTTAAACGGTTATTCGAACGAATTTCAACTCCTGTTTAGATATCGAATCGATAATAATATTACTCCAAAGCTAGTGCAGTTTACAGGGGGAGGCATGAATTCGCATGTAGTTAATGAAATGCACTTCAAAACATCGTAAGAATTTTAAGTGACAATCCAAACAACCGTGATTTATGTTACGATATAGGAGTTGTCTTCATATGAAGACTGCACAATCGATACCACTTGGAGAGAAACAGAAAGTTGAAAAGTACAAAATAACTTTCGTTATGCTGTCGTGGCTGTACACTACGGAAAGTACTCAACTAGAATGAAAATATAATCCACTACTTCGTGAATCTTAGTAGCTCTCAGGAAGGTATTAAATAGTGAAGAAGAAAACTATTTCAAAACTAATCAATTACCCACTAATCTTTAAACGTAACTTTGGTTACTGACTTGTATAAATGTATACTTTTTATTTTCCTCACCACTTGCAAGGGGACTTATTAGTAAATAATGGCCAAATTCTACTTGGTAATGAGTACTGTTGGCTCGATATCATGTTGTACTACTGTGGTGGTGTGATACGGACAATGTGTTCCAACGGAATATTATTCTCACATATTCACACACTTCAATCCGACTTTAGAAACAGAATACGACGTATCTATTTCAACATTCTATTTCTTGACGTTTGATGTAAACCGAAATCACACGCTGAGTGATTGGTTAACGAATATAAACTGTATTTATATATAAACAGCGCTTTGATCAGTGGAAAGTTTGCCTTGGTTTCCGTGTCTTACCTTCTGCTGTTACATATGCACTTCACTTCACACTGTGAGACACACTCAATCCTTTTGAATGATTATGTCAGCGACATACTCATTTTGTTAAGCAGAATAAATAAGATAAATACTGTACTAGAAACATTGGACAGAGGTCATCCAAGTATCCAATTCTAGAAGAAACAAGAACTTAATATTGTGCTTCATATTCTGGAGTTATACGTTGCTCAACGACATGAACCAACTTAGCAAAAAATCAGAACTAGAATTATAATAACACTAGTGTAACAACAGTATAACTCTATTCTGTTTTGCTCTGTAGCCTCCATTAAGGTGTGTAGGTAAAAAAACATGGTCTTAGTTTTCAGAAGAAATTAGTTATTACCTATGTTGGCAATCACCTTAGTAACTTGACTCCCCTTGTCGTGCATTTCACCAACTTCTTACCTTACTAAGTTTTATTTTAAGTGTGGTCACAATTCATCGCATATTGTTCTTGTATTGATAAGATTATTCATGAAAACATCTTACAAATATAATATCTTCAATTACTATTATCCACAAAACTTCGTCGTTGTGCCTTAAGCAAGTGCTTTTCTTTCCAAATTTCAGACATAATCATATTCATTCTTTAAAATTATAAACGTGAAATTTTACAAAGATGTAGACAAATTATAAGAAGGTAAAAAGATACAGCTTATTCGCAATATTCCCTAAAACTGTTTATTCTTGCTTCGTTTGCATGCACAGAAAACAAAATATGTGTAGAAATATTAACTATTAAAAAAAACAATTCAAATTGATCTAAGTGCTTTGCAAAAAAAAGTTAAAGTTAAATGTTTGCTTGAAGAGGACACAATCTCCTCCAACGGAAATCACGTATAAGCATCGACATAATTTGAATTAACTCAACCTTAGGAACATGAGAAGATACAAATGGAATGGACTTAAATACCTAAGTACATGTGTGCACTCGTTTACAACAAAGTACACCTAATTCGACTGCTATTTCAGTTAAATATAACAAGTACAAACTCACGAAATAATAATAATAAAAGATGAACATCGAAACTATGAGCCAGAGCTCATCTTACTAAACATTACAATAATTGGATAAAATCCACTGATATAAAATCAGGCTCACTCCAACTGACGAAATCATTTGCCGCTTTATAAACAAATTTGTATAACAGTGAAACAAATATATTCTACCTACACAAAAGAAAACATTGACTAGAAAAATAGCCAGGTTATCTCAATAAAGTATAAATAACACTTGACAGTTCATGCGTATCAGACAAAAGTTAACCCAAAAGCATTTCACCTATTATTTCAAAAACACTATGCATGAAGTACATCTCGTACAAGTGATAACTTAAAGGGGAGGTAAAAAGTTGCTTATTTTAAAGGTAATAAGGGGATGAGTTTCGATGAGTCATAGGTTTGAATACTGTTTAACATGAAGTTGGACAGTCCGATAACCCAAGACACAACACATTAGCATCTGAATATTTGCTGAATTGATTCCATTGTATCATCGTACACAACCGTAATCCTATCCAAATATGAAACTGTGTATCTTAGGTAAGTCTACGATGGACAGAAATATTTCACACACAAAAAGTCACTACCAACATAAAGGTAGAGAAAACTAAATTTGAACTAAGTCTTGTTGACCCTCTGAGTTAGAAAGTTCCAGCTAAGTAGTTCACACGCCAGAGAATATCTACCAGTAGCACGAGAAACCTCATGAGGTTCATACTTTAACAAACAAATAAATTAGCACACGTAACTACTTCTTCAAGCCAGAAGCATACAATGCCAAAAAGCTGGAATATATTCATATTGGATATATATATATATATATATATATATATATATATATATATAAATTTAGGGAGTAACAGAAGAAACAACTATTGTTATCCTCAATATTTCCAATCCTTTACTCTTCGTTCCATCGTCAAAACCTGCCTCACGTATTGATTTATCATTAATAAAATGCCTGTCCGTATCACAGTCAGACGGATCTACGACCGACCTACAATGAGTTTTTCTGCATGAATTCAGTGAATAAGTGTGTTTACTGTATTCTGTTTTTAAAATAAATTAATATCTTTCCAAATAACCGAAAATATGCTTCAGTTCAAAATATAAGCCTTCTAAAGCAGGGAAGTAGATGTTCGCTAGAGAAGTCAGATGTTTTGAAGGTCAAAATAAACTCGTCTTAAGCGATTATTTCTTCCTTGAACGCATACACATAAGATAAATATTAGTGTCAGTCAGCCATTCATTGAAAATAGTTGTATGTTGAGGAGTTAACTAACAGTGTAGATTACGGTTAGAGTCATAAAAGGACCACACTTTTGTTTGTCAGAAATCAGAATCGTAGAAATGACTATTGCAGTAAAAACGAAAACCTGAATTATCACAGAATCTCAGTCAAAGGAACATACATTACTAATGGTTTTCAATTCAGATGAAAATACATATTTTTGAATAACTGCATTTATTCTGAGATGTGGAGATTATAACTTGTGAATACGTTACGTGAAGGACCTCGGAAACGAAAAAGGAAGAGGTTAGGTTGGTTTTCGTTATACGTACTAGTGGTTAAATGATCAAGCCAACCAACTAATAGTCCGTAGGTCATGACTCGAAAACCACTTCATCAGCTCAGACGTGGGTAGATAGGTGATATCACCATTTCTAGTCAATTAAGGTGGATAAATGTCTAGTGATGCATCCTGTCTTATGCTTATATCGCTGTGACTTCATAATCTAGGTTATGTAAAAACATTTGCAGGTATCACACTCATGTAAATATGCAGATGATTGAGTTGAAATGTATTGGTTTTTATTATGACCTAATGATTTAATGAGTGACAACCATGTAATTGAATGATGAATAATCACCAAATACAATTAATACTATGTAACAGTTTATACAAGTTAGCATGATTATTCCAATGTGTTAAGTAAATATTTTATTCTTCATAGCATTGATTTTAGCCAAATTTTTAATAGTAACAATATTAAGTTGGTACAGCGGTTCTATGAAAGTAAAACGCCAGATATCTTCAACCTCATAAAATGTGATTAATAGTTTGGATCAATGAAAAACCCGAATTACTGAAGTATACCCTGTTAGTACCTCAAAGTATTTTCAAATGTATCATAATGTCTGATTGCAGAAAAAGTCAGTGGTGTCTTTGAAATGTTTTTATTGATTAAAAATTAGTTTTACTCCCACAAAAATCTGGCGTTCCCAGATTATACAGCTCATCACACCTTACCCCTAAAGAGACTAAACGATTGCTCGGAGTCCAACGGTAGTAATCAATTAATAAACCCGAAGGTTCAAAAAGTTAGAATAAGGAATGACGCTAAAACACATGTATAGAACAAGGATGTGACAAGAAGAAATAAATATAGTGAATGTTGTTTTCCATAAAACAAAAGAACAGTCGTGCTGCTTTAAATTTTCAAAGTTAAACATTATTAGTAATGACGAGCACATATATTCAGAAACAAAAAGCAGCAAACAAAAGCGAAACCACTTGGTCATGACTTACATGAGAAGCGCTCGCTGCCATAGCAACTGCAGCGTTTGCCAGTGTGTTCAGACTACTGAAAGTGTCCGGTACGCTTGCAGCCGTCAGCAAGCCTGTAGTCGCATTTGGTAAACAACCACTGGTCACAACTAATCTGCTCAAATCAGCAACTGGTACACAGGAATCTAACGAGTAAGTCTGTCCAGGAGCCTGGGGTGCGATAAGAAGTGCTGATGAAGGAAGAACTATCCTCCCTGGGAGAGAATTTCCTGCATTTTTCGAAATGTTTAGAACATGGGGCATTGCCATCACAGGAGCAATAGGTGCTTTCGTCATACCGAGAGACATGACAATTGGGTGGGCCTGGCCAATAACGGATTGTGACGGGTGAATCGCAGCAGAGTGATTGCTTAGAGATATTGACGGATTTGGCTTATCTGTCGTGTTATGTTCGGGAGTTTGTAACCGTTTTAAGGTTTGCTGAAGACTCTCGATACTAGAGGGAGTAAGTTTCTGCAGTAACTGTAGCCAGTCGTCCTCATTTAATTGGATGGATGCAGAATTAATTCCAGAGTCCGAATTTTCGTTCACTTCTGTCATCGTATTGATCCTCAAAATAATTAAAATATTATACCAGTTGGCATTTCAATTTATTCATTCAGATATGACATCATATCATAGTAAAGAAAAGTTGGCATTTCACAGTACTACAAGCCAGTGAAGTGATACGACTGTAGTACTGAAGGTACCATTAAGACCAAAAAGACTATCCCACTGGCCAACTTGATTCAGGTTGACTTTTTCATCTAATGACTATTTAATTATCGCACCAATAGCAATAGAGCAGTGATTGACCAATAAAATTAACGCAAGGTAAAATCAACCACATGCACACGCATCGCGCGTCATCTACGTTGGTGACTAGCTTATAAAAACTTACGTAATACGCCGCGTCATGAGTATTGTGTCTATCGTACTATCGGTCAGGCTAATTTGCTATTTCCCTATTGGTTGTAAATTCAGTGTCCAAATTAACCATTTATATAAAAGGAAACAATTTTCATCACGAATGCTGTAGGTGTGTATAATGCAAGCGTGGGTGTAACAGCTATGAAGCAATCAGAAATGTTTGTATATACACGACAACTGATCCCTAGGAAACAGTTTGTTATATAATTTTGTATTCTTTTAATGAGGCATTATGGGTACAACACGATCTGTTAAATGGTGAAAGCTTTGGTGAGTTTTTATAATCCATCTTTCAGCGAAACACTGATATAGGATAAGATATCACTATAATGTCTGATGTGTGATGCTGATTGGTTCCTTTTTTCACTGAAGAATGCCATTTAGACCTTAAATTAAATGTAGAAATTACATGTACCTGAATTTAGCTGTATTGGTGACCGGAAAAAAATTAAAGCTACTGTTATATGATGACAATTTGTCGAAGTTGTATCTCTTTTGTCATTGTCCTCTTTGGTAGATAAATCACATACAAAACGCAATTGTACAGCCAAAGAAAATGAATTTACCGGAAGAATGATCTTCTCCATTTAACTACTTGTTATGTTTTTCATTAACACTAGTATGGTAATTATTCGTGAGGGTAAAATATTCATTCCAGTAGGAAACAATTACTTAGTCATAATGATGTGTCATAAACACTGATTAAGTGCTGTATATTTAATGCATTTTTATTTATTCATACTTCTGATTTCCTTTTGAAACACCTGGTATGGATTCATCAGCCCGATTTTCGGCATATGGACTCCAACTGACGAGTCCGAAATACAACGAAGCAGTCGTCCTGGATTCCACTTTTAGCCACTAGAAAAAGTAACTTGAAGACCTGACTGATTTCACAATTATTCTCCATTCAAATTTTATCAGATTTAAAAAAGTCACAACACTTTGAAGTTTCTCTGGATGAAAAACGGTGTCATCAATCGGATTAAATATAGGTGTTAACTATTGTCATTAAAACGAAAAAAATCGGAGAAAGTACTGCTTTAAACAGGCAGTGTTACGGTTTAGATTATATATATATATATATATAGGGAGAGATAGAGAGAAACTCATACAGAGTGTTCCCTTCATCACCTTTATCGAGGAAAAATAAAATAAAACTGGCAGTATAAAATACGCTTGCCTTATCTCGAGGCTTCTCGTTAATTCTCTTCAAACAGCTCGTCATGAAATTCAAGTGAAACATAAATTACTATCCAAATCAATATTAACATCAACTCCTTAGGGTTTCAGTTCATTTGAAATCTTGACAATCCATGATGTCTAAAATATTAAATACATAAAATTTTGAAACAGTCTCTTTTATTTGAAATCGGGTAATTTAGATGCTGTAAAATATGAAAAAACTAGATTATACGAAGACTGTAGTAGATGAATTGTGAATCGAATTCACAAATCACAGTTCACACAGTTCGAGTGAGTGCTTAATTTTCACCAGCGCTTACTTTGGAAATCAAGTTATTCAGATCACAGTATGTGATCAACAAAGCAAGCACATTTTCATAAAAGTATACAATACTGATTGATTGAGATGAGTAGTTGCATACCATTTACATCAACCAGTAGTTATTTTGCTAGCCAGATCGGGGTGATCTTTCTCAAACAAGCAGATCACATATTGTGATGTGAATAACTTTGTTTCCAAATGGAACTACGGAGAGATTTCACCAGTTGAACTGTGAAGACTGCAAACTGCTAACCAATTTGAAAATTGTGAGTCTGACTTACGGTATAACCAGTCTGAGGCCCTCGAGTGGAACTAGAAAGGAAAGCGGCGAGTGGGACATCCAAGGGTGACTTGGAGGAGATAGTGTGAATAGGAGTTGAAACAGTATGGACTAACATAGATGCAGGTGAAAAGTACAGCAGAAGACAGAAGCAAGTGGAGACGTGCAGTTGAAATCTTATGTTCCACTAGGAACCCAAGGTAACAGTAATAATAATAATAACAATGACCAGTCTAACCAGGTAGCCGGCCAGCCAGAAATCGGGTGGTCTGAGGTTATTTAACTCTCCGAACTGAGTCAAACTGGTGAGCCCAATCACAAATGAGAGAGACAGCCATTCGGTGTATAAGATCACGCCGATCTCCCTGCCAAGCAAGCACTGCTGGTTCATATGATTGTTGGGCAATGAATCAATAGTATTTGAACAAAGCAAGAACTACAGTTTTAGCAGAATAAAATGGTACCATCTTTTATTTCGTTGCCTTCTCGTCAGCTGCTTACATGGCAAAGACATCATTAAATATATCTACAACAACAATTTTAACATACTTGCACAGAATTAAGTTTGAACAAAAACCAATCGATCAATATACTCATACACTAAAAATATATACATATATAAATATAAAAGTCATGCTTCACACTTACTAAGATTATTCAATGGTGCACACGCCAATATTGACTTCACTATGGAACACGAAAGTGACGGAAAGTTTCACTTCCTCGACATGGCCATGGAACGCCTAGAAGACGGTAGTCTTCAAAAGTCAATTTATCGAAAGCCTACATGGAAAGGACAATACTTGCATTTTAATAGCTTTTGTCCACATAGCTTTAAACGTGGTCTAGTCAAGACTTTGTACTATAGAGCGAGGAGAATATGCTCTAAAGAGAAACTAGAGGAGGAGTTTGAGTTCATTGAAAAGATATTGAAAAAAATAATGGGTATCCTCAAAGGTTCATCAACAAGTATGGAAGATCTGAAGTCACAAATGTAAAACAAATCACAGTGGAAAAAAAGCCAATCTACCTTCAGCTTGATTATAAAGGTGAAAATATTGCAGCGATGATCAACAGAAGGCTGAGTACATCACTAGCCATAGCGTATCCTGCAGCTAAGCTCGTTCCCGTCTATCGAACAACTTGCTCTTTGGTGCAATCAAAAATCGATAGATATCCTTCTCATGTTACCTCCAACTGTGTATACAAATTTACATGTATCTGCGGGAGCAGTTACATTGGAAGGACAGAAAGAAGGGCATATCTACGATTTTCTGAACACGTACCAAAAAGCTTACGTCTAAAGGGAACAAATGCTTTAAACAGTGCCATCACCAGGCATCTCTTCGACACGGGTCATGAGGTGGACGTCGAAAAGTCGTTCAAAATTATCAATAAGCAAAATAGCTCAATTCTCCTTAAGTTTGCTGAAGCCATTTCCATCAAGCGCCTGAAACCTGATTTATGCGTCCAGAAAGAAGCGGTTATCAGCCTTTCTTTGCCCTGGTAACTGGATAATCTCACCTCTCTTTCCTCCAAATGTGAAATGCTAAAATTTTCCATTGTGTTTGATTATTATTGTTCGGAATAGTGGTTAATATTGCATATTTATATATGTATATATTTTTAGTGTATGAGTATATTGATCGATTGGTTTTTGTTCAAACTTAACTCTGTGCAAGTATGTTAAAATTGTTGTTGTAGATATATTTAATGATGTCTTTGCCATGTAAGCAGCTGACGAGAAGGCAACGAAATAAAAGATGGTACCATTTTATTCTGCTAAAACTGTAGTTCTTGCTTTGTTCAAATTCGTTAAGGGGAATAAATGTATGAAATCAATAGTATATAGTTCTATAGATGAATTATAATTTAAAAGATTTCGTTATCCAACTGAGATGAAGTGATTATATGAAAAATATGAAAAAAATATTATTTACTTACTAACTAATGATTTTCAAATGAACTCGGATTGATCCCAATCAGTCACTGATAAAAATAATATAAGATCAATAAATTTCTTCAAAAACAACTGACTAAATAAATTCACATATAAAATCAGATGAGGTTTTATTTTGGATACTCGATGTTATTCAGGTTACTGTTGTTATTCTTGTTTTCAAGTTTCTCGTACCAAGTCAGTCAGTGTATGCTTCCACAGAGTATTAGAAAATCAGGGTATCTAAACTATCAAATTTAACAAAATACACAGTTAATCATATCTCTTAGTAAGGCAGTTAGTTAAATATTGTGATTCTGAATAACCTAGTAATTAATGAATCAATTTTTGTTTTCTGTAAACATATATATGTATATCTAGATTTATCACGTAAAAGAGTTCAGTGAGATAATTATATTTTTAGACAAATTTAATAAATATCATCTCATTTTAAGTCATCATAATCAATAATAACACTATAATATACTCTTAGTTTAGTATTAAATGCTAAAAGTTGGCCATCAGTCAACCCTATTTTATTATTGATAGCTATGAGAAAGACATATTTGCTGTACTGAAGAAACCCGAGTTCGTTAACAACATTCTTAGACACTATCACCAAAGTATTTAATATATATGTATATATCTTCGTGTTCCAATTAGACAGAGACCTTCAGGCTTGAGTTTTGAAGTATCGGGAGCAGTGGCGTGTAATTTTTTTCTTATGGGGTGTGGTTGCTCACCTCACGCCTAACCTTCCTTCTTCACCAGGATTACTTTCGGCTGAGCGAGGTTGAGAAGTCCATTGGCCGAGGATCAAACTCCGGACCACATGTAGCGTGGTCGGCGAGCATTCTGCCAATGAACCACAGAAGTTAAGGTGTAACTTATATGCGCAGTTTAATAAGTATTTTCCCCTGAGCGAATCATGGATAATAGAAATTTATTATCTACTCTGTATTCTTCAGAAGTATTTTCTGGGATTCAACAGAATATTCACTTCATGTAAAGAAGAAGTGAAAACTGATGTACACCTTGTTCTCATTCATGTGAAGATTGTGTAGAAATCTTACAGACAGAAAAGAATCAGTTCACGACCAGGCATGCACTTTTACAGAGTACTGTACTATGCTGATTATACTTACTGAACAACAATATTTTGTGAATAAACAGTAAGAACATGTTAGCAATATTGATGGT